ACTGCAATGCACTGTACTCAGTTACACACTGGACACCACAGTACACTGTAATGTACTGGACACCGCAATGCACTGTGCTTGGTGTGCTCTCCTCCTCTTCTCCTGTTGCTCCTCTGGCTGCAGCACGTGAAATCTGGGTGAGTCTTCGCCAGGCTGCCGCTCGCTGGGTCCTCACGGCTGTGGACCCAGCAAGCAGCCTAGGTATTTACTGGCCGGCGCCGTTTCTTTTTTGTTTTTTTGTTGTTTTTTTTTTTTTTGGCCGGTCCTTGTAATTGTCTTTACTCTATAAATTGTGAAGATTCAATTTGGTTAGCTAATCATGTAAAAATGAATTTCCGGTTTTAATAATTCATCTACATGCAATTGGGTATTCAGTGTTAACATGGTTACAATTCAAGTAAAGATACTCGACTCCACTAAATCAACTCCATGGTGTCTGAAATTAAACAATTCTTTAGGAAAACCCACAGTGCACTGAAAATCCTTTGCCACAGGTAAACGTTGCATTAAATGTTTGTAAAACCAAGATTGTGAATGTAAAAAAAAACAAAACGTCTGTCCAGCAGCCCCAGAGGTTACCTGGTCACATCATCACTCAAGAGACCATCATTGATTCTTTTTCACCAGAATATTATTATTATTATTATACAGGATTTATATGGCGCCAACAGTTTGCTCAGCGCTTTACAATATAACGGGAGACGATACAGCAACAATACAGTTCAATACAAGACATTAGGTGGGCCCTTCTCCTTGGAGCTTACAATCTAAGAGGGAGGGGCTAGTGGTACAAAAGGTAGTAACTGGGGGGGATGGACTGGTAGGAGGAGTAGAAGATTCCATTATTAGCTGAGGACAGGATAGGCTTCCTTGAACAGAGAGGTTTTCAGAGATCGCCTAAAAGTGGGCATAGTAGGCGATAGTCTGATAAATTGGAGACTACATTACTGCTCAAATGTACTGTACATACACTTTGTCAAAGGGGTGTGCCCCCGCCTTCAAAACCTTTAGAACCATTCCTTCCTACTAACTATGGAGCAATGGTTCCACAGCATTGAAGACATCCAACTATTGAAAGACCTTACCTGATTGATACCTCAAGGGAACTGATTAAAAATTCTAGGACACCTGGAATTACTGAATAGACTAATACATTTATAGAGTAATATAAGCAACTCACAGGACTTGAAACACAAATATCCAATTCCCCAAGTCTTATTAAATGTAGCAAAATAAAAATGTTTTGCTATAGAGAGGGTAGGCAGTATTCACCAAGCTTTTCCAGGAAATAATATCCAAGGATGCTGTTGAAACCCATTGTAATTCTACTGTCTTCCTAGCATAAAATAAGTGGTCTTTTGAGCACTTCCAACATCCATATCACCAAATACTTCTAATAGGCAATACATTGGATCAACCATTGGGCAGTTCCAGATCATATGTGTAAGATCCCAATCAGTCCCCTAACAATTAAGACCTAGAGGGGTATCTCTCTTCCTCATTTTGAACCGTTGTGCTGATGAAAAGTAGACCCTATGAAAACACCACATTTGGATGAGTTTGTCTCTAGCAGAGATGGTTGTGCTAAAGTAGGAGGCATAAACCTCATCCCAATCCTGCTCTTCCATATCCGGAATGTCTCTACCTAATCTTGTGCGACTTTCAACCAATGTCACTTATGAAGGATTTACTGGATGTACACCATAGAATGCTTCAAAATTATATATGAAAAAAAAAAGTTTTTTGTATGTTTATAAAGTAAAAAAAAAAAAATGACCTCCCCCAACCATTGTAGTATGCAGTTACAGTAGCCGAATCATTTTCACTATATTGGAGCAAACATTAGACTGCTTTACAGTTCTCAAGATTATCAGAACAGTAGACTGGAGGTGGTAGATGATACGACTACTTCTTTTATCATCTGTTTAGTTCTGTTCAATATACCGCGTGTATTATTTATTTATTATTTTATTTTAATGCTTTACAGGTTGTTCGGTTGTGCCAGAATCAAAGGCTTGCTTTGAAAAACAGTCCGCCATATATTTTGGACCTTCTTCCTGATACCTACCAACACCTCCGCACCATTATGTCTCGCTATGAGGGAAAAATGGAGATGCTTGGTGAAAATGAGTATTTCAGAGTCTTCATGGAAAACCTAATGAAGAAGACAAAGCAAACAATAAGTTTGTTTAAAGATGGCAAGGAACGCATGTATGAGGAGAATTCCCAACCAAGGTTAGTTACTGCTCATTTCACTGCTTTCAAAGCTTCCCTGTATATACTGCAGTAATGGAAGACAACTTGGTTTTAGATTTTAGAAATTCTGTTTTACAGTGACTGCTCTAATGGATCACTCTGCTCCTACGGACTATTTTCTTATTGCTGTTCTATATACTGTATGTTGTATTGTTACCATGTTTTCCTAGGCAATTGTATGTACGTTCCAGTGTAAATATTTACCCATTTGATATATAATAACTTGAAGCAGAACTTCACCCAAAAGGGGCAGTTTCGTTCTTCCTCCTCGTACCTGCTCCCACTTCCTCTCAGATTGCCTAGGCGATCTGAGTGGGAAGTTCTCCTTCCTGCCCACAACCTTCTGGAACACGTCTCCTGCCCCCCAGAAGGCTGAGGGACCATTCACAAAGCACAGTGTAGCAGGCAGTTGGCTGAGTCAAGAATCTGGCCCAGGAGAGGACAGCTCTGCATCCTCGGACAGTTGACTGTTTATTAAAAGTCAGCAACTAAAGTTTTTGTAGTTGCTGACTGAAGAAATGACTGAAGAACATTTTAAGGTTTCATTCATACTAACCCGTACAGTAAAATGCAGCAATTCACTTTGTAGGTCTGTGCGAGGTCCAGCACGTGTGCAGTGCATTTTTTCAGAGCAGTATGGTTTACTTTTTGAAGTCTCATAGTGACATTTCATTCATTCAGGTCTCTACAGGACCACATAGCCATCCAGTGTGCAGCAGGAAAATGTGTGCATTTCTCCACCCTGCATATCCCACTAACGTAGGAAAAAGCATTTCTCCCACACATCACAAACGCATTTTGGTGTAGACTGACATGTGGAAAACAATTGTTTTCCATGTTACCTCGTGGTGACTGGCATTCGCCTATTTTGGAAAAACACCTGTAACGACCCTTAAATGTTCTGTACAGGAAGAGTGATAACTACTGACCTGAAATATAAACTCCTATTCTCTTTCCAGATATAATTAGAATGTAAGAGAAAAAGAAAAAATGTGTTAATTTAACAAGCTGACTTCAGGAAAAGACAATCAAAGCCAGGCACAATGGGCCTTGTCCGCATTCGAAGACCAGTTTAATTTTAACCAGCACATTCAGAAAAAGTTACCAAGTGACTGTAGTTTGTATTTACATTTTAGTGTGCCATCTTCACGGAATAATAGTATTCACTTGCTGTAGTTTTTGTCTGTTTGTTTTTTGTTTTTTTGTTTTTTCCATACCTGTTGTGGTGGTTTTTGATGCTTTGCATTGTGACGACATGGTGACACAGATATATAGATCGTGTTCACTGAACGTGTGAGGAGACCATTGTTGGTAACAGCCCCATCCTTATATTTAACTCTGCCCTTTCAGTGCTTTCTGTGTCTTTGAATTTAAGTAATACTACTTTTGAATACACATGGAAAAATTTGTGGAAATTTGAAGGTACCATTCTAACCTCCTTGTGATTAAAATATTTTCAGAAATGCATTACAATAGTTTAAAATGACTGACAAACTAATTTTAATACAATAGTATTACTCAGTCTTCACCTCCTAGCCTATACCTTTAGCCTAGGTTCATGTTAATACTGCTGTCTAATCGTTCAGTTTTCCATGCATTTTAACATGTGTTTTTGAGGCGTTTTCATGCTTCCTGCATTTTACTTTTATTTTTGGTGGGAGGAGACTGCGTTTTATACACACAGGGCACTAAAAACGCATGTACATGCATTTTACATGTGCTTTCCATGTGCTCCCATTGAAGTCTATGGGGAAAAAAATACGTTATGCTGCACCAAAAGAAGCACCTGCACCTTTAAAAAAAAAAAAAAAAAAACTCACTATACCATGCAGCATTGATGTGAACAGGCACCATAGGGAATAATGAGATTTTGCATTGTTGTGCGTGCCAGCATAATGGCAGACGCAGGAGAAATCACACTAGTGTGAACATGGGGCTTAATCTGTTTTTATCGGGTCTTGTAAAATCATATTTAGAGAAGCCATATTCCAGTGTTGGTCTTTTAGTAGATTTATGCAAAATATCACTCTTGAGATGAAAACAGGATGTGTAGGCTATACTTTAAAGTCTCCACATTTCTTTGACCATTGTCCTACTATCTGTGAAGACAACAGAAGGTTGTTCTTTGAAATTACATAAATAAATTAGTACATAAAAATATAGATATATATTAGTATTGAAACCATTGTGGCCAAACCATGTTTCTGCATTTACAGAAGATAACTGCTCTAAGTAGGGAAGACCTAGTTTAACCACAATGTTTCAGTATTGTAATTAGGGGAAAATGTTAAAGTGATACTAAACCCAGGACCCTGCATTCACGCTATCTCGTCTCCCACAGTACACACAACATGGAAATGCAATTATTTTAGTAAATAACTGCTAAATACCTTTTCTCTTCAGCAGTTAGAACAGTCTTGTGACTTCAGCAGAGCACTGGTTAAAGCTTGTAGGAGTAGTTTTCTTTCTGCTTTAGGAGGATGTGAAATCCCTGACCTTGTCTGGACAGTGCTTATTGGCCCTGTGCTGATCACATGCACCCTCCCAAGAAAAAAAAAAAAACAACAAACCTATCAATACACACCAAACTGAGCATGTACACGTGACCACGGGTTCAGTCTGTATCAGGCGGTCATTTCAACAAGAAGGCTTCATGCACACTGGGCGTTTTTAATAATGCTGGTAACATTAGCTGTGTAAAGTCATGTTAAGTATGTGAGTCTTCAGCGTTTTTGCATTAGCATTTAGCGGTGTTTTGCCACGTTTTTTTTCGCATTTGCGTTTTTTTTTTTTTTTAACAAAGAAAAAAAAAATTTCTTTTTTCTGCTCAAAAAAAGTCCAAGAATGCTGTTTTGCAGAGATTTACTGCGTTTTTGCAGCATTAGAGCGTTTTTAGAGCTAAAAAACTCCTCTAGGAACCCACTAGTTCTGGGTTTTTTTTCCACCAAAAAACGTCCCTGCCAAAAATCGCTGATTACAGTCTATGTGCATGGACACATAGGATAACATGCTGGGGAGTTTACTGGTTGTAGAAAAAACGTCAAAAGCCAAAAACAGCAGCTGTAAAAACGTCCAGTGTGCATGAGGAGGAAGAGGGGCAGAGGATTAACCCCTTAGGTTCCACAGTGAGTATAACAAGCATGCTGTACTGCATATACAGACTGATTTCACTGTTGTGGGTTTAGTAACCCTTTAATTTTCACAATATTAGCACACCAAGTAGGAACAAATGTGGCATTTTTCTTTTGTGTCTTTGGAAGGGTTGTGAGATGTAAGGTTGCCAATGTCAGTTTATACAAGTATAAAAACCTGTGCAGGATAATGTGAAAAGTTCTTTGTAAATTGATGGTGCTATGAAACTATCTATAATAAAAATAAATGAATACCTTCATATTCCAAAATTTCACATTAAATCTGCAAGGTTAGTAATTAGCATTCTGAGGCAAAGGGAATGCATGGCATCTGTAGATATCCACGGTGCCTTCTCTGCATGTTCCCATTTATCCACCTAATTGTGTGGCAGTGGCAGGCAATTGTTTCCAGTTTGTCGTACTTCCCTTTTGGTTTATCATTTGCTCCCAATTTACAAAGGTCATAGCACCTCTTTTTGCCTCCCTCAGAACTCTGTGCTTCCAGGTCACAGGTTATCCATTCCCCTGAACGACTCTGCTCTCCAATTTTCTCTTCGCCTATATTACTTGGGTCTGGTCCTGCACACATCTCAAGCAAAGGTTTTTCTCCCAGAAAAAAAAAAACATTTTTCTCAGAGCCCATGCTCAATAATTAAGTTCAAAGAGACATCCAACAATGAGATTTTCCTTGAGAGTTCCAGCCCTTAGCCTCCTTTTTCAGGCCGTACCGTTTTGCTTTATGTATTTAAAGAGCTCTCTTACACAACATCTTGTCAATCTAGAGTAATTCTTTGTCTTGTCTTACCTGCACACCCTCATAGAGGACTTCTTGCTTCCCTCCGCACCATTGCTAGGTATATCAGACAGCATACATTTGTGCTCAGAAGTTTACATACCCGGGCAGAAATTGTGAAATTTTGGCATTAATATTGAAAATGACTAATCATGACAAAAAATGCTCTTTTATCGAAGGATGATGATCATATGAAGCCATTTATTATCAAATAGTTGTTTGGCTCCTTTTTAAATCATAATGATAACAGAAATCACCCAAATGGCCTAGATCAAAAGTTTATATACCCTGGAATTTTGGCCTTGGCACGGACACACAAGGTGACACACAAATGCCAATTAGAAGTTAATGTCCCACATCTGTGGCTTTTTAAATTGTAATTAGTGTCAGTGTATAAATAGTCAATCAGTTTGTTAGCTCTTACGTGGAAGCACTAACTAGGCTAGATACTGAGCCATGGGGATCAGAAAAGAACTGTCAAAAGTCTTGCGTAACAAGGTAATGGAAATTAAGAAGTGGAAAGTTCGGGGATCTCTTGATAACAAGCCAAGGTCAGGTAGACCAAGAAAGATTGCAGCCACAACTGCCAGAGGAATTGTTCGGAATAAAAAAGGGAAACCCACAGGTAACCACAAGAAAAGTATAGGCTGCTCTGGAAAAAGACAGTGTAGTTGTTTTGAAGGAGCACAATATGATAACACTTGAACAAAAATTAGCTGCATGGTTGAGGTGCCAGAAAGAAGTGACTCTAATCTCTATCTTCTCCAAAAATTATACATACCCATCCACTACCTAAAGCAGAACTCCACCTAAAAGATGTTCTGATCATTCTCCTCCTCCCCTCCCAGTCCTCTCTCACCATTGCATTTTTTTTTTTTCTGGGGGTGGGTAGCTATTCTGAACAGATACCTGGTCCCATGGAAGTTGTCACCACCAATCTTCCCCCCCCCCCCAAAGAAACCTCCTGGGCAACCTCACATGTCTCAAGAAGGTGCAGGACCACCTCGAAAGCACAGCACGTGTCCCTCATGCCCATTGGGGAGTTGGCTGTGAGACAGCAGGAAGTCATAACCGGCTTCCCACAAACATGGTGGTGCCAGGGTCCAGAAGTACAGCAAGGAACTGGCCTGGGTGATGACAACGCTGGATCCCAGGGCTGGTGAGTGTTTGTATATTAACTACTTCCCACCCGGCCTATAGTAAAATGACGGCCGGGCGAACCTCTCTTCCCTCCGGTAGGGTGTCATATGACGTCCTTTCCGGATCACGCCTTGCGCGTGCCCGCCCGCAGGACCGCACTGTGGCAAGATCTGTCACAGACTGTGTACCTCGGACATGGCCGATGACAGATCTGTATACGGCTCCGTTGCCAGTACCATGTGACCTGCTGTGACCAATCACAGTAGGTCACATGACAGTGGTATACAATGAATGGCTTCCTTTCATGCCATCCATTGTATACAAGTGTGTAGCTGTGAATGGTCACACTGGGCCAATCACAGCCCATCTGGGTCGTGATTAGCCGTAGCTAATCACAAAAAAAAAAAAAAACCCTGAATTAATCGATGTCATTCAGGTAAATGCTTACTTATAGCAAAGAAATTCTTTGCTATAAGCAACCAAATTGTGTAAAAAAAAAAAAAAAATACTGATCACTTCCCCAAAGTAGTACAGTGTTACTATGGTAACATTATACTACTTTGGTCACAGTGTAATATGAAGAATAAAACCTTAAAAAAAAACAAAGAAAATTTAATAAAAATTGAAAAAAAATGATCAATTTATCAGTCAGTGTCCCTGATCACCGCCACACCAGTTATATGATGACGCTGTACTGCACTGGTGACAGTATATAAAAAAAAAATTGTGAAAATCATTTTTTAAATTTCTTCATTTTCCGAAAAATTGTGACAAAAGAATTACAACTTCAAAAAACTCGCCATGCCTCTTATAAAATACGTCGGACTGTCTGCTTTGCAAAAAGGGGTCATTTGGGGGATATCTGTACTGTTCTGACATTTTTGTGTCTCAAGAAATTAGATTGGCTGTCAGTACTTCAGGATTGATCAATTTTCAGATATTTCCCATGGTTTGGGAACTCTATAACTTTCCTACAAACTAAATAATAAATACTGATTTGGGTTATTTTCACCAAAGAAATGTAGCAGAATACATCTCGGCCTAAATTTATAAAGAACAATTAATTATTTCAAACTTTTATAACAGAAACAAACGTTTTTATTTTTTTTTTTCAAAATGTTCTGTCTTTTTTTGTTAATTTAGCAAAAAATAAAAACCCCAGTGGTGATTTAAATACCACCAAAAGAAAGCTCTAGTTATGTGAAGAAAATTTATAATATTTTAGTTTGAGTACAATGTTACATGACCGTGCAATTGTCATTCAAAGTGTGAGAGCGCTGAAACCTGAAAATTGGCCTGGGCAGGAAGGGGGTAAAAGTGCCCGGTATTGAAGTTGTAGCTGTGGACTTTTAATCTTTGGACAAATTACTGTAGTTACTTTTTAAGGGCCCATTCACACTGGGGCAATTTGTGACTAGCTGTGGGAGACCTAGCGGGGGTTTCCTGTGTTTATCTTCAAGCATGCATCCGCATTGAAAGCAGTGGGAGGCAGAATTCATAGGTAATCGCTGCATGAGCGGTTACATGCGATTGGCTACAAATAGCTGCGAGAGCTGCCGGCCTCCCAATACTTTCAGTGGTGCTGGCCATTCACAGCAAATCATAGGAAACCCTCGCTTGATCTCTCACAGCTAATCGCAAACAACCCTGTTTGCAAGTGTGAATGGCTCTGTATTCTACTACTGAAGAAATCTTTTCTTGGTGTTTTTCTGCCTTTGTGACATCCTCTGGGGGTGGCTACGTTCCTACACACAGTATGACCATGGAGAAAGAATGTAGCCACCATTTAATAGGAAGTCAGATCACAGGAAAGCAAAAGGAATTTGGAGGAGGCTGAGGGCAATAGAAGGTACTTTTTGACCACAGTTTAGTGTCACTTTAACGTGGTTCTAAAACCTAAACATTTTAAACCTTAAATTCCCTACATTAAGGTAAAAAATGTTTTGGGTATCAGTATTTACCTGAATCTTCTCTCGATCCAGTGCTGTGCCCATCTGAAGTGACTGTTTTCTCTCCCAGCTCTCAAAGACATTGCTGAAGCAGCAGGAGCTATTGCTTCCCACTGCTTTCAGTCATGCTGTGACCAGTGAGTGGAGGGAGGGGTCCAGGTCACACTGTCTGTCTATGGTCGCAGGCAGCGTGGCTCAGGATTGAGCCTGCAGGTGTGCAATGAGCGGAAGCTGCTTCCCTATGGTGACACACCAAGAAGAAGAGGAGCCAGTAGTGCCAGCGGGGGGACTCAAGGAGAACAGGTTCAGGGCCGCTCTGTGCAATTCCACAGAGAAGGTACGTTAACCACTTCCCGTGCGGCCCATGTACATAAACGGCCAGATGGGAGCAGTACAGGAGCGGGTTGTCGTTCATAAATGGCACCCGCATTTTCAGGCTGTGTGCGCTCCCTGGGAGCACACGGCACTGCAATCCGGTGCCCGCTGTGTCAGGAGGACACAGTGGAACACCGATTGCTGTACGGGACCTCTGTGTGAGGTCCCGATCATGTGATCACTGATTGGCCAATCAGTGATCACATGAATAGTAAGCAAGATGTCACTTCTGACATTGCTTACTACTAGTGAAATCTGTGAATGATCAGAGGTCACATGGTACAGGGCTATTCACAACAGCCTTGTACCATGTGACAAGCTGTGACCAATCTCAGCTCTCACAGTATTTCTCAATGGCTGCAAGAATGCAGCCAGAGAGAAGGAGAAATGATTGCTTTTACGGCCTTTATGGGTGTAAAAGCAATCGGTGTAAAAAAAAAAAAATCTTCATCACCCCCCAAAAAGCAGTACAGTGTCACTATGGTGACACTGTACTGCTAGGGTGACAGTGTGTTAAAAAAAAAAAAAAATATAAAAAAAAACAAAAATGTAAAAAAATTGAATTTTTGGTTATAAACTAATTTGGGTGTGTTTTTTTTTTTTTTTTTTTTTTTTTTTTTTTTTTTTTTTTTTTTCCCCTACTAAAAAGATAACCGAATAAATTTTGGCCAAGATTTATGAAGAAAGATTATTTA